TTTTCAACAAAAGTCCGTAAAAAGTTCTCGATATATCGCTGCCGATTCTGACGTGATGTCCGGCGGAAATTTTTTGCGGACAGACAGAGAGAGAGAGAGAGAGAGAGAGAGAGAGAAAGATGTGCGAACGTGGGGTTTTATAGATTAGGATAAGAATATTCGAGAAAGTTTGGGGTCGTCCATAAATGACGTCACGCTTTTTAAGCCATTTTTTACCCCCTCCCCCCCTACGTCACACATCGTCACAAAAATTCAGACCCCCCCTAAAATGACGTCACACTCCACCCCACCCCCCCTAATTTACAATTTATCCTATGTTTTAAATTTGCTGTGTTTTCATTCCTTTAAAATTACCGCTCGTTGACACAGCATTAAAAATGAGCGCGCAGGACCCATTCGTGGCACCAGCAGGTAAACAGTAATACAGTTTACTTAATGTAAATGTAGGTATTTCTTGCAGACATGACGACACACGTGAGAATAAGCATACATTGAGTATAATATGCAAATTATTTAAATGTCAGCAGTATACCCAGACCTTTACTTTTCCTGGTATAGTTCATTATAGCCTATAAAATGGACTTCATCTCTCACAAGCAAAATAAATGTAATAGATTTTTAATAGTAAAGACTCTCCACTAGATTATTAAATTGCGTGTTTTGCTGTTAGCGAAGAGGATGTTGAAATAGGACAAGAAATACTTTTACACTGACTTAAATCTAAGCAAGTTTTATAGAAATTTTATTAATAAAGATTAAATAATAATATCAGTAACAAGTTATACTTAACCGACGATATCTATATACATTCATATTTCTAAATCTTAGCAAGATCATTAACAGAAGTATTTTAAAAAACTACTTACAACAGTATTAATATGGCAATCCTAAATTAAAAGTTGTGATATTTAATTTTAAGCTTATTCATTCTCCCATGGAGAATTAAAATGTTCCTTCATTGAATACACAGGGACGGAATTGATTTTTTTCCTGTATGGAATGGGAATTCCCTTTACATCAAGGTCTTCCTCTTCTATCCAATCTACACTCTCACCATTAATTTCATTGGCAATTATAACCATCAGTTCACGTTGGCGACGTGCAGCAACTCTCAGAGGCCTGATGCGCTGTAATGGCACAATTGATGATTCCTGTTTGTGTGTTAAACAATGATTGCGCAGCATAACCAATGAAGAGAAATATGAATGACACTTCTTACAAACCCTGTCGCTGATCACGGATTGAACAGACGGACAATACAAATCATAAGGGATTGTGCGATAAGGATTTGAAGAGCGGGAAAGGATTGCATCCACTTTTATACTTTGAGCAACAAAAAGAGATGGAAATTTATGTGAAGAGCCATCTGTTGAACGCTCAGGTATTGTTAGTCCACAGTTTGTTTGGGCGACTGGTAAAGGTGGAGGAAGAAATCTATCAGTTATTACGCTGAAATACGAGCTTCTTGGCTTTGAGCAACATTTACCATCCATGCATTTAACGATCTGAGTCAAATACTGGCTAGTTCTCACATGAATATCATGCCAACGCTGATCTTTTGAGAGCAGAGAAGTTTCAAGGAGTTCAGACTCTTCTGGATCTATGTATGCTGCCACTGTAGGAAATGTATCCACTGTCAAGTGTGACCATATTTCTGCCAAAGTGTTTCCGGCAAACTGAAAATTCTTCTTCTCTAAATCTGTGTCTATTGTGACTCCTCTTTCATCCAAATGACTGCCGTAGTGGTTATGGGGTAAAACTAATCATGTGAGCTCATTTCTAAGTGGCGCCATTTTTCTTTCAACCCTAATAAATGCACTTCTTCCTGGTGCATTTGTAGCAATGAACAAACCATCATAGTTCTGATTGAGAAAGTGGTGTACCGCAACTTTGATCACCTTTTGATACCTAGGATTTTCGTCTGGGCCACCATCAACCGTCAACACTAATATTGGTTTAACAATTTTATCCACACCGCTCTTTGTGATATCATCAAATTCATGTAAAGTAAGTAATTTTTCAAAATCAAGTCCATGACTAAGCGCTGTGGATGAGGAATGTTTACCAGATCTGATTGATATGTATGTTGGGCCGGAGTATCCAACAGCTTCTCGATTTCCCAAGGCGTTGGGCTGAATTTTTATCCCTGCATAAACTGAAGGGATCAGCTTATGTCCAGCAGCCACAACCCAGTCATGGTCAGGCAAGCTCACCCTGTATTCCATGTGCATGAGCAATGGACTCTGTTTTTTAGCTGCTGTCAACCCAAGCGGAACGCGGGCCTTGTCATCTTGACTTATAAAGCATACCTCATTCGGTCCAAGCATGGAAGCTAACTCTTCTAGGTGAGAAGAAGTACGTCTTGGCAACAGTCGAAGGTACAGCCCACTTCTACTAATTATAAACCCATCCTGTTTTATCTGATCAGTTAGCTGATCTAATGTTTTAATAGTCCTGTAGACTTCGTTCTGCCTCCTCTCGTGTGATGCTGATCCATGCATAGCAATGTTTATGATAGTTTCCAATAAAGAAGATTGATCTTCTTCAATCCTTGGCCTGCCAGAATTAGATCTAACATTCAAAGTGGCGCGTAGCCCCGGATTCTCTTCAAACAAAGCATTCAGTTTTCTTTTCTTTGCATTTCGAGCTTTCTGAGATCTTATTTGATCAGATATCTTCCTCTTTAGCTTTTTTTCCAAATCACTCTTTTTCTGTTTCTTTTCTTTAAGCTCCATGTTCTGTTCCTGCGTTAACATTCCGCGAGTTTGTCGCGCATACAAGCCAACTAGATCAGAATTCAGAATCTCAATCTCTGATTGTAAGTTTATCTGGACTGTAGCCTGCTTAGATGTTGATGGTTTGCTGGTAGAGGGTTTGAAATCACTGACTTCATGAGCATCGTTCACTTTTTCATCTGACTTCAGTGACTTATTAGTATTAGGTATTTCTTTTGCCAAATCATAGGGTGTTTTCTTATTTGTAGATGTAGATACAGATGTTTGTTTGGCCCAAAACGTCAAAAGTGAGCCTTTTTTAGCGGCAGCAATTGCTTTTAGCTCTTGCAGCCAGACCTCCGCTTTCAAGTGAAGATCTAAATCGCTTTTTAGTTGAGTCCACTTTTCAACGACTTCTTCTTGGCAAATCTTTTTACTCTTTTTAGGATATGCCAGCACGTAGGCATCAAAAATACATTGGAACATTTTATTTTTATCCATCATTAACTGTCGATTTTTAAGCAGTATATATGAGATTATTAGATCTACCTTTCAATTGAAAAGCCTCACACAGACAAAGTTGATTCAGCAAGACGCGTGTAGGCCTATTTAAGTTGATCTAATAAACACGCATCACCAGCTGACCCTACACACATCCGCTTTTTTTTATAAAATAAACAAAATAAAAATACAAACAAATAATCAAATTACGTAACTCGTTAATAAAAATTAATTAAAATTACGTCACAAGGTGAATGATTACGTCACAAGGTCAATGATTACGTCTTCCCCACCACCTCCGCCACCCTAGGGTGGGGGAGTATTTTACTATATGTCTTTGCGCCTTCACCCTTCGCTCCTCACCCAGCCTCTGCGCCAGGCTCACCCAGGCGGGTGAGTATTTTACTATATCTCATTGTCCCAGGCTGCGCCACCCTCCTGCTCCGCCAACGCCAGTTGGCGTAGTATTTTACTATATGTCTTTGCGCCTGCAGCGCATCCTGCTCCACCACCCTTACCCAGCCTCAGCGCCAGGCTGGGAGTATTTTACTATATCTCTTGCGCCTTCCCCACATCCTGCTCCCGAGTATTTTACTATATGTCTTTGCGCTTTCCCACATCCTGCTCCGCCAAAAAATCGCTCCAAAAGTGACCTAATATACTACTCACCATGTTTTGTGTTGTACTTCTATAAACTAACGATAGTAAAACTACTGCGTTGAGATAACTTTGCGGCTTGTTCTGCTTCAGACACTTCAAAGTAAAGTTTTTCACCTTTCTTCATGTCTACAACCACTGTCCCAGCAGCGCTAGTGTCGGCACATTTCACTTCTACAGACGTACGCCACATCCCTCCAGCCCACACACTAACTCTAATCTGTTTATATTCATATTCATGTAGACTGACACATACAAGATATAAACCATCATGTGGTGATACAAATGTTACTGTTGTTTGATTAAAATGTTGACCGTTGTATTCTCTAATTTCACCAAATGTTTTAATCCTTGAACTCGATGTGATCATTGTCTTGTCTTTCAGGTGGATAAAACAACCATATCTGTTACATGCTGCACGTTTCCCTGTCAAGTAGGAAAAAAACATGTATGTTTTGTTAAATGTTTCTTTACATTGTTACACATGCGTTAATTGTTTGTTCATTATTTTTAGGTTAGTATAATTGCTAGTAAATGTATTATATAATCGTTAGTATTGGGTAGTGTATACTGTTTACGTAGTATTTATTGGTTAGCGTTTAGTAGTGTGTAATGTTTTGTTAGTATTTAATAGTAAGTATTTGATACTATCTATTGTATTGCATATTTATTTCCTAGATCATCACCTTTCAACTAACCAATGACCGTTTTTTTAGTACCGTCCTCACCTAAACTGTGAACGCGAAGAAGAAACAAAACTCCGTCACAGTTTTTGTTTTAAACAGGTGAATGTAAAGTAAAAAAAAAAAGTGCAGCGCAAGAGTCAAGAATAGTTAAAATGATAAAAACATAAAAACGTTTATCATTACAAGCTTGTATAAATGCACTAAAAAGAAGAAAATAATACAATTTTTATTAAATATTAAAAAAATTACTTTCTTTAAATATATTAATGCACTACTATTTATATCACTATAAATAAAAGCGTGGGCCGCTTGTTTAAATACTTATTACTATATTACTTATTACTGTAAATATTGTCTGTTTTGTTCGTCTAGCGGCTAGACTCTAGCTTGTATGTGAAACTGAAACAGCTTAACGGGAAATCCCGAAATTAACTGCTGTTTAGGTAACGAAGTTGTCTAGACGACAAAGTTTCACACACCTAGATTTGTTGTTTAAAGTTTTTAGTTGACATTACTTTGATATTGATATAGAATTGAAATTGTAAGTATCATTTAATGTGTTGTGTGTAAGAAACAGTATTACCTAATTATTTTTACTTTAAAAGTCTTTACAGATATGTTATTTTAAATAGGTCACTCGGCCGACCGCACACAACATGTCTTTCACACAACTACACACATTTATTATCGCTAGCATACAACACAACAAACATAAACTTGGGGTGTCGCTAACACAGCAGGACGTTTTATTTCGAACTAAAAATAAATGTTTTATCAGTTATTGATGATTTATAAATAAATGAACGCACGAAATTTTAATGTGTTCTCTTTTGAAAATGTAAATCAAAGTTCATATAAAGTCAACCACAGTACAAACAGGTCATTTGAACCCCAAATCAATACACAAATGATAGCTGACATAATGTTAAAATGCTAGACCTTACAAACAAGAGGTCAGACAAAACACAGGATACACCCACGACATGATACACAAACGACGGATAACAGAAATGAGAGGTCATTAACTTACAACCTACTCATTACCCAGTCAAACAACAGAATATGTTACAGTCAAACAACATACTATTTTAGAGTAAAACAAATTAAAGTATGACAATCAAACAGCAGAATATGCTACAGTCAAACAACAAAATATGTTATAGCAGTGTTACAACCTCACGTCCCAATGTTACATAAATAATCTCCATCGGATGTTAACATTAATTTCATGATAATTTATGACGTGTGTGTTACTGTAAGGTGCTGGAGATCGGTGGATATAAAACGTTCTGGTTTATATGCTCATTAATTTAGTATATATTAAAACAATATTTTAAAAAGTGACCGTTATATTATTATATAGATGCCTTCAAGAATTCAGGTCAAGCTTGTTACAAAGCACAAGAAATATTTGGAACAACATATACAATTACTGGAACCTGTTATAGGAGAATTGAAAAATGTAAGTTTCTACCAACTTACAATAATCTTTACATTTTCGTGTTCAAACAAACGTTCATACATTCAGCAAGATGTAGTGTTAAAAGTTTAATTGATGTTGTGCATTTCTAACAACAACAAAAACTTAAAATCTGAACGGTAGAAACATAAATGATATTGTCTTTTATCACAGGTTGTTGCAAAAAGTAAGGCGTGGCTAGAAGAACAAACTGACCAATCATCTGTCAGCTACATCGAGCTATCACAAGAACTGGACACAGCAGCCACGGCCTTGTTGGATGTGACGTCACATATTTTAAGTCAGTACTCTAATAGTTTTTATAATTTCTAATTAAAAATCTCAAAGCTTATAGTCATGTAGACTCTGTGTTCAGTAGTAAGCGCTTCTATTGAGAAAAATGCAATGGATTTTTTTAAAGTTTAGTTTAAAGACATTGCAAACACTATGTGAAATGGATATAATTTTATTCTGTCGACCGACTAACTAACCACTTTTATTTATATTAATTCGATATTTCACTAGTGACTCTTAAAACGTTGAACAAAATTGAAGAATGTACAATCGCTTTGTGTAACTTTACTCGCCCTAAGACACGTTTAAAAAGCCTTAAGGATTTATTGGAGGTTATACGTTTTTTTTAGATAATTTGGTATCTACTTTTAAATTCCTAAACAGCCGTGTAAAAGAAAAACAGCACGTGCGATTTGTATACTCTAGACATTTTAGAAGACTTTGTGTTTATATAAATGTGGATCTTATTCAAAGTTTTTGTTTTCATCAGAGTGTTTCATCATATGCATTACGGTTTTAAATATATAAGCAATAAAAATATTGTATGCACCAAAACCATTGTTAATTTTAACGGCGATTTAATAAAAAAACCTTTAATCCCAATTCTTTAGCCGAGGACAACATGAATGTCAACAAACCAACGCCATCTTTACCACAGCTTGACACACAGACAACAGCAACATTTCTAACAAGACAACTCAAGACACAAGTCCAACATACAGCGGGTATGTTGTGGTTTTGTTTGATATAACAAGTTAAACAGCAGAATTTCTATCCGTAGAATCACCAAGAGAACTCATCACACAAGGCCAACACACAGCTGGTATATTAAGTATTCTTTGGAATAACACGTTAAATAGCATCATCATATACCTTGATGTAATTTCATTTTAACACTCTTTTTTTCAAGGTTCGAGACTTGTTAAATTACAAACTTATATTTGTGACTATTCTCAGCTGAAGAACATCCTGAACTAGAGCGTAGACTTGCCTATATTGAAACAACACTATCTTCACTACAGGACACACAACACAAGTCTACAGATGACATATCAGAAATAAAACAATGGAGAGACAACTTTGTAACAGAACAGAGTGACATGGCGGTAAACATTGCACAACTGACTAAAAAACAAAAGCAGAATGTTACAAACCTCAGAAAACAAATGAGTGAACAAGGTAACAATGTAAAGGAGCTGAACAAAGAAATTGAAATTTTAAAAGAAAAAGAATCCAAGTCAAACAAAACACTAGAGAAACTGTCTCAAGATATAAAAGAATATGAAAACAACTTACATAAAATAAATAAAGACATGCAAGCTTACACAGTTGAAACAGACAATATAGCACAAGAAATTAAAAGACTTTCCGATTTAATTGTTTCTTTACAAGATGAAAATAATAAAACCTTTGTCAAAACAACAACTGGATTTGAAAAGTTGCAATCAAAGGTAAATTTTTATTGCTAAGTATTTTAAACACATTTCTATTCCTTTTTGCCAGTTAATGTACATCTAATTCTTAATTAAAATGCATTTGATTAATTTAACCTATAATCATACCGTTTATTTGAAAGCTAATTTTATGTGAGTTAATTTGCAATTCAAATAGTTAAACTTATAAATCTTTAATTGTGATCGTCGGTCTTTAGCACAGTGTTATGTACAAACTCCTACAACAAAGGTTGATGCCCATAGACAAACTGATTCAAATCTTTAACCATAACTTGGAAAATAGTAAAGAAAGAATTAATAAGGTGTGTTTGTAATGATTTTATAAAACTAAAATTATTCACAACATTGATAATTCGTACATTACTCAATACGAGTCTGTTATTAGACTATTTAGTATTTACAGAGAAAAAATATACGTTATTTATTGAATTTAGTGTACCAGTCCTACATTATAGCTTATGTAAATATATTGTGACGCTTTCATTTATTTATTCTATTTTAATTTAGCTGGGTGATCTTGAAAATAGTATTTCCAAGTTGTCCAACGATTTTCATCGCATCAGTAAGTTTGGTTTAAAAAATAGTTAAAAGCATATTTATTTAACAGTAGTGATTTAATGACAATTCTACATTTTGATTTTTTCGTTAAAATGTAACAATAGTAAAAGCTATCATGTAATTCACAATGATAACCAATCGGTTAATGTTTGATACGTTTCATTACCTTTGTTTAATATTCTACCCTAAATCTCTCACATTTTGTAAAAATTTTTGCACTCTCTGCCTTTCCATTACACGGACATAACCACTTGTTAAACAATGTTCGTTAGCCAGACAGACCATAACGTGATGTTCGTTAGCCAGACAGACCATAACGTGATGTTCGTTAGCCAGACAGACCATAACGTGATGTTCGTTAGCCAGACAGACCATAACGTGATGTTCGTTAGCCAGACAGACCATAACGTGATGTTCGTTAGCCAGACAGACCATAACGTGATGTTCGTTGGCCAGACAGACCATAACGTGATGTTCGTTTGCCAGACAGATCATAACGTGATGTTCGTTAGCCAGACAGACCATAACGTGATGTTCGTTAGCCAGACAGACCATCACGTGATGTTTGTTAGCCAGACAGACCATAACGTGGTGTTCGTTCGTGATGGTCACATTTTATTATCTCATTAATTGACTGTAACCTGAAATGAAAAATACAAAAGGTAGACTATGCAGATCTTGTTATTATTTTGTCATTATTAAGTACAACAGAACAACTTTAGCTCTAGTAATTCTTGTTTCAATAGATAATCCATATACAATTAAACTGCCCGAATGGTCAATTGCCGAATGTGACAAATGCCCGAACGGACACTTGCCCGAATGGGACAAATGCCCAAAAGCCACTTACCCGAAGACCTTTTGCCCTAAAAATGGTAACATTACAGATTACCAAATAGTCATTCTTAATCAACTTAAATTTGAAATTTTGATAATTAAATAAATGTCTTACCAAATTAAAAGGGAACAAAATACTGTTTAATATCTTCAAGCATGCATTATGAATTAATTAGTATCCTAATATGTAAAAGACCATGTGCGCTCTTCTCTCTCTCTTTCTATCTGTCCGCAAAATATTTTTGCCGGACATCACGTCAGAAACGGCAGCGATATATGGAGAACTTTATACGGACTTTTGTTGAAAATAATATGTTAGATGTTTTAAATGTATAACCACAAGTTTATTTAAAGAAGAAAAATAAAAATAAAGGCGTATTCGAATGTAGAAAAACAATTTTATTTATGCAACCGTGAAAAAGAACGCATAAAACTGTGAATTCACTATTTCTTATACATTAACTTATGATGTCATCTGCGTGTTTAGAATAAAAAGAAATGAACTATTTCATGCAAATTTGATTTAGATCTACGTACACTATGAAATGTATACAATACAATTTTTCCGGCCTAAACTCATAACATTTATTTTATTTATTTGGATTCTAGATCTAGATATTCTAGATTCTAGATCTAGACTAGATCTAAATCTACGCAATAACTAGACGTAGACGCAAAGATCTAGATTTATACTCTAATTACTCTAGAACTATTCCAAAAAACATTTCTATATTAGGACTAAACTATTTCAAGACTTAATTATTTTATACAAAATCTTTGTTTGGAACTGGCTAATTTGGGATAACAAAATTAATTTGAAAGAATAGGCATATTCGCGTAAGTTAAGATTTTAAAATACTTCTTTCATTCTCCGAGTTTTGTAAGATGCCTTAATAGCTGAGATGATAGTGTACTTAAAATCACGCAGGTGGTGCGGGTTTGACACAGACCAAGTCATACTTGGTTTTTAATTTTTTTTATTTTGCTCGGGCTAAACTTTAAAAAAAATTCTATTAGGATTCTAGATCTAGATATTCTAGATCATCTAGATCTAGATATTCTAGATCATCTAGATCTAGAGATTCTAGATCACCTAGATCTAGAGATTCTAGATCTAGATCTAGATGATCTAGATCTACGGAAAAACTAGATTTACACAGAGAATAATTTTTTATTGCAGACAGACTGTTAATCACAAATTTATTTAAAGACGTTAGTTAATGCATTGATTTATTCATAGGTAGATTAACCACTTTTTTTTTAAAGATTTGAAAAACCACTACACTTGACGGAAACAGTGATGTCACATGATGTGTTTATTTTTTTACATCAATAATGGCGGCCTATCGAAGAAGATCGTGTTCCTATTCCAATGTTTAACGCGTTCTAAAGCTAATTTTCTGTCGGCTTTAACTTTAACAAATACGTCCGTTTGCTGTATTTATTACGTTCCAACACTTATATCAATTTTCAACTGTCTTTTTCATTTAGTTTTACGATAAATTTCTTTAGATCTACAATCTGTCCAAGAAAGTTATTTATAGATCTAGATCTAGAATCTAGGTCAAATCAAAGATTTCTTAGTTATAAATACAATCCAAAAAAAAACGAGACTTAAGCAAACCAGTCGTAGATCTAGAATATAGATAATTCTATCTAGATTTAGATAATAATGAGTTTCTGTATACTAAACTATTTTAGACCTTTATTATTTTGTATAAATCTTTGTTTGGAATATGGTAATTTTGAAATGCTGTATCCAGGGCCTATTGGCGTAGCTTAAGATTCATACGCGGCTTCGATGCCGGTAATTTTGCTAAATTATAAACGTAAATTCTAAATATAGCTCAGTCGTAGATCTAAAATATAGATAATTTTCTATCTAGATTTAGATAATAATGATTTTCTATATACTCAACTATTTTAGACCTTTATTATTTTATATAAATCTTTGTTTGGAATATGGTCATTTTGAAATGATCGCTCCGGGCCTATTAGCATAGCTAATGATTAGATTCTAGATCTAGCAAGAAAAACTAAACTTAAGACTTAAGCAAACGAGTCATAGAATCTAGATCTAGATAATTCTATGTAGATCTAGATAATTTCAGACCTTCTTTATTTTATATAAATCTTTGTTTGGCTAATTTAAGACTTAGTTCTAGATCTATGCGCGTAAATCAAGTTGCATAAGGAGACTCAAAGTATAGTATAAAAATTCACTTGTGACGTCACGAGTAAATAGCTAAGTTGGTAGTGTAGTCGGCTCTCATGCGGGTGGCACAATACGTCAATGATATTATTTTTTTTTCAATTTTTTTTTTTTTTTTTTTTTTTTTTTGATGTGAATGATAAAGTTGCCTATCTGAACTTGGCAGGATACAGGGCAGGTGAAGTAGAGTTCATCTGTTTCTTTGTCCTAAGCATATGAAAAGATAGTGTGGTCAGAAACATGCTCGGCTGGAATCGTTTTTTAAACGATAAAAACATGTTGTCTGAGACTTGACGGGACACTGGGCAGGTGAGGTAGAGTTCAGTAGGTCACCTGTGACGTCAGTATATGAAGGGATAGTCCGAAATCGGTGTTTTCGGTGTTTTTAAAAGATAAAAAACATATTTTTGAATGTGGGGTCTGTTTTTTTTGTGACGATAAGTGACACTGTAGTAGCGTAGCGAGGTGTGGGGGGGCGGGGGGGGGGGGATATGTTCCCGGGCGGGGGGGGCCTTGGTGGCGCCAAAATGGGTTGGAAAAATAAATTGAAAGGTTGAGTGGGGTGCAAATCGAAAGTTTGAGGGGGGTGCACATCAAACGTTTGAGGGGGGGGGGGGGTGCGAATCGAAATTATGCGGGGGGGGTTCAAATCGAAAAATTGTCCCCGGGCGCCGGGAAGGGTCGCTACGCCTCTGAGTGACAGACGTGACTTCCCGGCGCCGCAGGCGCTTCAAAATTGGCAGGATCTTGCCTTGGGGCGACAGAACATGGGGGCCGGTTGGCCGAAAAGTCTACGATGATGGGCCAAAACTGACCTCGACTGACCGGCGCAAAATATGAGCTATAAATCGAAAAAAAATGTCCACGGAGGAACCTGTTCATAACTCCTGAGGTCGTAGATCGACCCTCGGGCGAATTAATTAAGCATTCAAATTCTCAATGTTTTCGAAAACCTAAGCGAAGCTGGGCAGCATGCCTAGTTTCCTATATTATAGAAAGTGTAGGGCCTACATCTTTTGCTATCTATAAAACAAGACGAAAATATAATTTTCACTTATCTGATGTTTTTAAAATGATTCTCACTTTCTGTATTAAGTAATAGCTTCAACACATTATCTAAACAAGCTGCATTAAATGAAGATCAAATATAATTGACTAACTTTAGTTTTTAAATTCGCTGCCTAAGGCGCGCTTCATTCAATTGTGAAATAGTCATCACACAAGTTAAGCATAACAAAATAAATCAAACAAACGCATCTCTGTTCAATGTAACGAGACGCCGCGCCGACTACACCGTGTCATAAACGCTATCAAACTACCGCAACACGTCGGCTAAACAAGGTTTTCAAAACTTACATCAAGAGAGTGTAAAAACACCGCCGCCAACATAGCATTACATTATTAAAGAATAACGTTTTTTACAGCAATTTCTCAATTTTCAAACATTAAATGTTAAATTTTAAAAGTATACACATTTTCAAAAATATAAACCATTTGTTTTTATGCCCAGAATTGTGTTATTATAATGTCAAACTTGAATTGATTAAGAATGTCTATTTGGTATTTAACAAATGTTCATTCGGGAAAGTGTCCATTCGGAAATCGGCCTTGGGGCACAAGGCATTCGCGCAAGTGTATTTCAGGAATTTGTCGTACACCCGGTTTTAGCATAACGCATTTAACATTTGTTGTACGTTTTGTGACGTTTTAATTGACCTTAGCAGGTAAGGTCAATACGTGGGAAACGACAAACTAACACCATACTATCTAAGGGTCGTACTAAATTAGTGGTCTAGTGTTTCAATTTATGGTTTTGGACAAAGTTATATAAACATTATAGATTCTTATATACAGTTTATTTTTTGAAAAATAATTGTTTGATTTGGGTTTGTCAATTTTACTTACATTATAAACTGCATACAAAACACATATAATGAGATGATAACTTAAACTAATGAAACGACAGTTTACAAATATTATTGATCAAGTAGGCCTAGTCAGAACATTCGTAAAGTTATACATATGTTTTCTAATCAACAGAGTCACGTGTATGTAACAGATATGCTTGTCATGTGGCGCTTGATAATCTCACACCTGCCAGTGTTGGATCAATTATTTCAACATTTTGTGAAGTACGTGAATATAACGGCCAACATTTTAATCAAACAACAGGAAAATTTGTATCACCACATGATGGTTTATATCTTGTCTGTTTCACTCTACATGAATGGGAAGATAAAATGATCGGAGTTGATGTGGTGGCTGGAGACATGTGGTGTAAGTCTGTAGTAGTGAAATGTGCCGCCACTAGCGCTGCTGGGTCAGTGGTTGTTGACATGAAGAAAGGTCAAGAACTTTACTTTAAAGTGATTCAAGCAGAACAAGGCGCAAAGTTATCCGGCTTCAGTAATTTTACTATCGTTAGTTTATAGAAGTACAACACAAAACATGGTGGATGGTATCTGTTTATAAAAATCTTTTTGTTTCTATGTATAAGTGTATCATTGTATTTGTTAAAAATAAAACCTAGTTTTTTTGTGTGTAAACTATGAAATTGAAACAAAATGATTTATTTAAAAAATGGAATAAGTTCACTTGGTAACTTAAATATGTGTGAGATATATTTTTAAAAAATTAATCCATGTTATGAATTTGTAAATATTTTGAAAGATACTGACAATAACTTTTGTTTTGTTTCAAGGTAAAAAATAAATAAACTACAGTTATTCTGGAAACAAATACCACTCTTGTGATTTTAGTCAGTAACAGTGTATGTGAATTAACACCTACGCAAACACACACATACATAAATAAACCATACATAAGTCTGACAATATATAGACCATATATATATATATATATATATATATATATATATATATATATATATATATATATATATATATATATATTATGCATGTTGGACAAGCTACCCTGTTACTAAGAGACATTAAGCTGAGCTCTGTTGTCCGTCACACAACCGGTAATCAACAAATATCTTGACTCTTTCCATTTATTTATCTAAATTCTAAATAATACATACAGACAGAAAGTTACTTCGCGTGTAATATGAACATCAGATTAAAGAAATAATAAGCCTTTTAAAATGTTAGAACAACTTAAAATATAAAGACATACAGTGTGGTGGCGTAGATGCAGGGGCAGGATAGACATTGTACGTGACGGAGACGATCGACGAAGCACGGGTTAGAATTAGATGGCAATTACGGGCGACATCATTGTGGGGGGTAGGTGTAGAAGACACGTATCAAGTTGGCCTGGTGACCGTAAAGGGGGTAGTTTATTAGCAGGGTCTGACATTTTAATCAGGTACTCCAGAACTGTGGCGACATGCACATTAGGTTAGACCGGATGGACAAGACAAAGAAGTGAGGACGATGAGGGTTAGGAGACAGTAGAAGCTAGGCAGTCGGGGTTGAGAATTTGTAGTGAGAGGACGTATACAAGTGTAGAGTTAGGGAACAGTGTAGTGACAATAGTGTAGGAAAAATTGAACAGTAGGTGTAGACAAGAAGTATATATTGTGTTAAGTCTAGTATATTCAAGCATCGGATGTGTAATAATTAAATGTTGTGAATCAAACTAATCTTCTAGTTGTCTTATTGATAGCACGGAATTGAGAGTATTCTCGTCCTCGTCACAGTAGTAAATATATGTTCGTATGTAAGAAGGAAATTAATAGAATAAGAAGAAGAGAAGTCAATTCCCCCTACCACATACACTAAATAAGGAGATATATTGTGTGTGGAGAGGGGGTCTGGGTTTAATTAGGGATTTTAAAAATGCTTAGTTTATTTAGTTGGGTTAAGGTTTAGTGAAGAATGTAACTTTTACGTAACTTAAACAAGGCTAATCGAGTTTTATTTCTTTTTTTAAATGAGAAATAAACCACTATAGCTTACGTGTTTTTGCACATCAAACACAACTCTCAAGACCGTTAAGAAGATGATTCGCGTTAAAATGTACATCTGTTCGCCACAGTTTAAAAAAAAAAAACAAGATCTTATTCTATATTCCAATATAGTCAATCCATAAATAGCCGTTGCTACTAGTCTGTTTTCGTCTTCTGTTCTTTTTCTAGTCGTGTTAATTAAGTTAAGTGTGATTGCTTTATTTGGTGTGGCTGTTTGGTGGTTTTTAATATTTTCGCAAGTGTTTGGTTAGCTTTCTGTACTAGTATACAATCTTAATACAAAACACGTCTACATCTATATGTTTACTATCACTGAAGTAGCATTGACCTGTCTACTTCAGTGTAGGCTACCCATGGGTCTAGTTGATGTAGAGGGGCAGCGGGTGGGGTCGTCCGCTGCCGGACAGTCATGTCATGTTTGCCTGCCGTCCCTACTGGGACATAGGCCGCTGACAAGAGCTTTCCAGACGTCTCTGTAAAAGTCAAATTTAAGCTGAAGTTTTGAATTATAAACGATAAAAGTTAATTAAACGGATACATGTTTTTATTCAACTGCTTTCTACATTGCTTGGGTAAATGTGAAGTACACTCTTAAGTACCAGAGACCTGGAAAGATCGTTTACCATCAAGTTGGGAGGGGGTGTGTGCAATTCTGTCGACTAAAATTGGAAGGATTTACCCTGGACTGGTAGGTAGATGACTCTTATAACATTTAGAAAAGAAATAAAGCGTATTGTGTAACGATAAAATAAGAAAAAAAGTGGTAGGGTTGCGTCGCTTTTTTGCCAAGACAAATGAGGATGATTTATATCGGAATGGTGTGTAGATAAATCATTATAAATCTGTGAATAAAATCCAATTGTATTACCGCGTATTATATGATTTCACTAGCCAGTGGGTACTTAGTGCTAAATCTGTAGGTGCTCAGAGTCACTAAAGTGGGTACTCAGTGCTAAAGCTGTTGGTACTTAATAACTATGTTGTCAGTACTGGATGCCTGTATAATGCCACTGATGTGGGTACTCACCATCACTGGAGTGGGTATATTTGTCAGCATATTTTAACGCTACTGTATTGATCTTGAGGTGTACGTCTATTGTAAGTGTTATTATTGTCATGGTCACTGTAAAGACCTATCTTTGGTGGTATCCAGGATAGTGGTCGACCACCTCACTTCCTGTTGTTGTATTTAGTTTTTTATATTCATCTCATATTTTACAATCCTATTTCAAAGCTAAATTTTTTATATTGTACTCAGCAGCATGATCACTGTTTTTCAGCATCGTTCTGTCCATATACCGAGGGCAATGAAACAGGTGAACTCTACCTCACCCGCCTCATGGCCCCTTAACGTTCCAAAGTGTACATTATATATAAAGGAGAAGCCTATATTAACATCCTTCCTTATTTATAGCTTGAAGCAACGACAGCTAGGCGACACATCACTTTCATGTGCACTTGCTTGGCACCCAAGTACAATTGTATGTCTTGTTGCTGATGTCACAAAAACGTAACCAAAGATAGTTTCTTCAATTATTCTAATATGTGAAATAAACTGTTAATACACATACAATAGCGAATAATAAAACTATTAGCACTTTTGTAGCTTAAATTGACTATTCATTTAATAATCATTATAAGTGGGCTAAATTCATGAACACAATTTTTGTCCATGTGCTTGAGTCAACGGAGTGTGACGTCATAAAAAAAAGTTAGAAAACTACAGTATAAAACTATTTATGCGAAAACTGACAATATTACTGCTTGCGGATCAACTGTGGTTCCGTTGAAGAAAGGTCAAGAACTATATTTTAAAGTTCAACAATCAGCAGAGTTTCTTCCAGGCATCTCTTCGGGGGGGGCCAAGCCCCCCCGAAAAATTTTTACCGCCCCCCCCCCCCCGAACGAAATGAAATTTATATAATTTATATAGAAAATATATGCTTTTAACAGTGTCCGCCCCCCCCCCCCCCCACGAAGAAAGTCTACCGCCCCCCGAAAATTTCAAGTGCCCCCCCGGAGAAAAAAGTCTGGAAGAAACACTGACAATCAGGACCAGGGTCTTTCCTGCAAAAAGAGAGCGGTTTTACTATTTTAAGAATTTAGCTGAAAAATTAAATATAGTTGTATTTGTAAACTAAAAATTTAAAATCAAAATATTATCTCAGTTGAATATTATCATAAGGGTTCATTCTCGCTATAAGCTTATAATTATATTCATACACTGAAGAGGTAACGGCGTGGCTATGCGGTAGAGTAAAAGTTCTGCTAACTCGAAAGTCTCAAGATAGAATCTGGATCCAGCAAGTTCAGCGTCCACGAGTCCGCTTAGGTCTAATGTCCACCTAACTCAATAACTAAAACTTCTGTTCATATGCCGAGGTCAAGAAATACAAGAAGTCTACTTCATCTGCCTAATGGATCGCTAGGATTATTTACTTTATACACTGAAGATATCATGACTGTTTTATATCTCTATCTAGCATTACTTTTACTTTATATAATATTAAGACTGTGTATTTGTAATATTATTAAGTCCTTAATAAGAAAAAAATGAAAAATGGATGCAGTAAAACTAATTTGATAATCATAAATATTACTCTATACTTGATACATATAAATGTATTTTGCAAATTTAACATTTCTGTTTGTATTGCGAATATATTTTTGTATTATTCACGGTGAGCCTAATAAAAGTTAGCTCTAATTATAAATTGGTTAATATCTATTGCTGTTCCATGTGTTGTAGAAAAACCTAATTAAAGTGGTATCGCTTTAAGCAATAGTTTGTGTACGAAACCTATCTTCACTATAGACAGATAATATGCAAACATCTCAAAACCATATCGAAATATAATGTCAAGTTCTTCTCTCGCAAATATGTACCGAGCACTACATTAACTAACACATAATGTCAAGAAGGTGGGTGGATTTCCTTGTTGTGAAAACATGAAATGATCAGCGTGAAGAGAACACTTATCATTTTCATATCAATGGCTCGTCATTAACATGGGCGTCCACTGAGATTTTAAAGGCCGAGATCCGAGGTTAATATTTCACCCATCTTTTTTGCTTGTTATTTACTCTACGTTGACTTTGTGTAATGCAGAGAAATGTATCGCTGACACACAATACGTTTAGTTTATAAACAGTCTATCAGCAGTCATGTAGGCCCTACTGTTTGATTTGATCACACCTGATTTAGAGCTGATATAAGTGATAAAACCAGTCAATGATAACACGATATTGTGCTACATATGTTTAGATTAAACTAAGATTAATGGTATGAATTGAAGCCAAAGGACGGGTCAGTACAAAGTACACCTAAAGCAGGCATCTCAACACGGTAGCTGCAACTTGTGTTCATGACTTCACACATTGTTGATTAAGTGGAGTCACAATGTGTTAGTTTATTGGAACTAGAGCGATTAAATCAAGTGCCAAACAGCTTAGAACTTAGGATTATTAAGTCAAATGTAAGTTTACATTTAGCAAACCTAAAGTTAGTGATAGATAAACTTTAGACATCTGACTTATCACAGACTAGATAGTTGAGCTAATGTACTTTTATGATACAATTATACTGATATACTGTATTTAGTTATTTAAGAATACATTTTTAAAAACCTCTTTAACACCCGATTGCACTGAAAGTGCCTTCCGACTTAGGGCG